GAAAATTTGTTTGTTTCAGTGTCGGTGTGAAAGTGAATACGCTAACTTGCTTTTGGCAGAATAGATCAAACGTGCGAGAATCTTTTGATGGTAAGCTGCACGAAGTAAAATTTTCACGAGGAGGGGAGAATCCAATAGGAGAAGAAGCCAGTTGCGGAACATAGTAATCGTCAGTGTTTTTGCTTGTGCTCATAATTGGTTTCGCTCACGTATTGGGCTTCACTTCCATTACGTGATGAAATGGCTTCGCTTAGTAAAGCTAACATCCATCCGATCAGTGCTTGATCGAGAAATGATATTTTTGCGGTTCAAATGGAAAAGCGAGTAAACGAACGTATCACAGTCAAATGTACTTCTCTCTATCAATAACGCACTTCGTTCCAGCGCAATAATACGATACTTCAAAAAATTCTAAACTACTTTTTTATCAAATTAATTAGAAGTTTATTAGTTTGATGTGTCCTTTCTTGGAAGGGACAACGCATCTAGCATTGTTTTAACGCCCTTCGTAACATTCTTTCAAAGTTGCCACTGAATTAGGCACGAATCAGGAAATGGGCCAATGAACCAAGAGAAGAGAGACTGAAGAATGAAAAATATTTATGCCCACAAAATTGGGAAAATTGCAGTATTTGACTTGAAGATAATGCATCGTAAAATTCAACAATGAAATTTGCTTGCCTGCAAAACTCAATTTATGATCAATTCTGCAAATTCGACCTTATCTATCGTTCACTTTTGTTTTCATAAAGCTGATGAATCATCGATAATCCTTCATCATGTGATTAGTGGCATAGCATATGACTTTTTTAAAGCAGGAAATGTTGTGGCTCTGTGGCTGTTCTCCAGTTGAGTGCTTTATTTCTTTATTTCCACTCCGCTATAGCATCAATTTTACTGATAATACACTGGTGAGTGAATAATTTCATTTGTTAAGTTTGAACACTTTAAAATAATAGAATTTTATTTCAACCACATGCACAATTTTCACATTTTTCTGTATGCTTTTTCTGATTGTGAGTAAAAGAGAAGTACGTGACCTACTGTCCCCATGCATACATTACTGTATGTAATATCTTCTGTTTGCATTTCAGTTGGATGGCAATGCGATGGTGGTGCATGGTACGCCCGCCCAGTAACCCCTACAGTCCTTTTTTTCAAAAACTTCCCTTGCAAGCGCATTTATCATTCGGGATTTTATCTGAAAAAGTGAAATTAATTCGATTGATCGAATACAGTGGAGTACAGTGCTGTTGATGTGCCTGTTCCAGTTGAACTGTTCCATTTGTGTTTTCTTTCACCAGAATAGAACAGGACAACCGCAGATCTTGGGTTGTGAAAGCAGAACATTTTCAGCGACAGAACAAAACTGTTTCAATATGCTACGAAAGAGGTGCAAGAACAGAACAGAACAGAACAGCTTCTCAGAATTTTGGGCTATAGGAATTGAACAGAACGGAATAGTGAGAGGTTAGAACAGTTTGCGTGATATGTGGATCAAAAATAGCACTATACAATGCCTTGTTATTGCTTGATAAACGCATATTATTCTCCAATGATTGGAAGCATTTGACAGCAGAATTTCGATGAAACGTGTTTAGAAATAATGAGACAAACTACTAGTCTAAATGAAGCAATAGAGCAGCTCATTAATGTAAAAATAGTTTACTCCAAAAATAATTTATTCTCGAGAGAAAGTACTTTTATTAGCTGATTCCATAGTGTATTATACTAAGAAAACATTCCAGCCGAACTGCTAACGAGTTCATGATGGTAATCGTCAGAGAACTTTGAAGTTTCATTTTTTTTTTGTCTGTTGATAAGAAGCTTAAGCTCGTATCTTGCAGGAGTGCTCCCATGTGCTATCAACCAAAAATTGTATTGAAACGATTACTGAATCATCTCTAATCCGCAAAGGAATTCACTTATTGATGTCAGTTGAAGAGGACGAAGAACAAGCTGATATCGAATGGAGACGAAAAATTTGCGGCAAAAGATTGCAAAATGCAAAAAAAANTTCAATAAATCATTTATATTTGCTAACAATACGGACGCGATAATTTGCAAACAGATTGCGATAATTCAGCTAATTGCTGCAAATTTGTTCGATTAGCCCCGCATGATGAACGAGCAGCCTGAAAGGCCCAGCGCCAACTTTCAATCCTTCACATCTTCATAAATGTTCTGGCTACAGAACTGAGATTTTGTTCATTTCCTTGACCTCAATTAGAAGATGTTTTTTTTTTCTCCGAACGGCGGCGCGCATGACCTAAAGCAATCTATAGCATCGAAGACGAACGGGGTCTCTTAAGTCAGGCTACAGCTTTTTGAATATTAAGGCGTTTTTAAGCCAATAGAACGATGTGTGGCATTCAAACCATCTTATTTAGTTCTTATAACATCACGCAGCCTGAATATGACAAACGCCACTGCCGAAAGTATCTCCGGGAATAAATAAGCTTTCAACGGGCTGTACGGGTCTATCCATGCTTAGAAATGATTACTTTAACCAGTACTCCATGGGATTCAAATTGTAACACCTCACTCTTCAGGAATCTTGAAACCGTTGACGTTACTCTGAAGTATCGTTACACTCATCATCACTTATCACAGGAGCAGCTTATAAGTGAGACGAATACGAAACGTTCTGGGTCACAGGACCGAGTGATGCAATCACATGCTATTACTGCGGCTATCAAAATAGCATCGAAACCAGTTGGATTTGGATAATCATCGTTCATTTTATTGCCAATCAATGTGTCGTTAATCCATCAGTCTGCTGTCGCATGTCGCATATAGGCAGTTCGTAAATATCCATAAATATTAATTCAAATAATTGTCTAATTTGCGGCAATTGCTCACTTAAACCCAGCAATATACGTCAGCTGTTGCACTGATCATATGGCATTGCTGTCACCTTTCATGCGTGGAAAACTCAAAGAAAGTACACAGAAAAATTGTTTTGCAAATGGAATTTCCTCGCGTCTTTTCATAAACACCTATCACGCTTGCTAGAATAACCGATCATAAAACAAATTTGGTGAACAGAAAACATTCCAACTAAATGTTCTGTGGTTGACAGAACGAGAATTTTCGAAGGAATTACAGCGGCAATAAATTACCTCTCACCACATACACTCATTTCTATCAAAGAGAAAATTTCTTTGCTAAACTGTTGAAAAAAAATCAGTGAACTGCTTCATAAGACTTTCAAATGGAACAACTTTATCCAAGCGATTAAGCGTTGAAATGAATCATAAATTACTCATAAAAATGCACACAAGAGTACACGAANCTGGTTGTCAACGAAAAGTAATTGAACATGCGAGTTGACGAATTGAAATTCATGTGCCAACCTTTCTTGCAAACAACTGAACAATCTTGTCTACATATAAGGAAGGGTCACAAAATTACCCACGCCTTTCCGGATGAGTCATAAATCATCTTGTCATGGTGATCATGGGTGCGCAAAAAAATTTTTGGATTTTGCGTGGTATATCGCATTTAGACACCACATTCTTCAGATTGTGCGAGAATGAAAAGCCAATTTTTCCAGGCAGTAGAATTCAAGCTTTCCGTCGTTTTCCAGATCATGAGTGTAATTTTTTTAACGGCGAATGGCGATCTAAGATGTTTGTTCTTAAATTCTACATACGAAACTGTCTCGGAAAACGACCTTCCCATTCTTGCGTAATTTTTCCTGCTATACAGTGTTATCAATTAACGAAAAACTAACTTATCGATGAAGCCGAAATCATCCTCTGCACTCAACCAATACGATGTTGTTTGGCTTGAAGTGAACTCAAAAATCGCCGTAATTGCATGATTCGAGTCCGTTGTAATCACCCAACGACACCTCAAAAAATTGTTTACCACATTACTTTTTTCATCACCACAGTACTAATCCATTGTACTGGCAAAATTCTGAACCAGTTTTGTACTATTATTAATGTGTTTAAGACACTGAAAAAGACTCATATCAGACGTGTGCCATGTGACGTTGAAAAACTTCGGTTTTCGATCACTGCGCGATATCAAGTTTAATGTCATGACATTAGCACGACTGTTACACACTTCAGATGGCGGTGGTTTGACGAATAAAACGTTACTGAGAAAAATGACTCAATTTTCAACAATCTAATGACAGTGTTCCATCAAATTTTTAGCATTCTAATTGCTTCCATTACGTTTTCCATCTCAGTTCTAGTCTATCGAATTGTTTCGTAAACAAACGTGTTGTACTGTTCTGTGATGAAATGCGAATATACTTCAGGCATTCTTCGAAGAGATGTAGGCAGACTTTAGTCTGGGCTAAGCTTTAGACTGAGGTGAGAATTTCAAAAAAGTTGCTTGCGCTCAGCTGAAGTGTGTGACCAAAAAAAAAGAGTAATAACGTTAACTTAGCGATAATATTCATCATCTGAATCAGAGCTTCTTCAAAGAATTCATTAGGAGCACATCATTAACATAATGATGTTATCATTTAATCAAATCTCACTCATTCGAAGTATCAGCTAGCAACTCGTCAACAGTAAATGAGGAGATGGAAGTGTCATATCTTACATCAGTGATAATATTTTCCCTATTTTTCACGTCCGATTCATAGGAAACATTCACGATCAGCATTCCCACTAATTAAGCGAATGTCTTGCAATATGAGCGTAAGAATCATGAAATGTTCTCGGAGCTTATTGAGAAAGCATGCTGATTGGAAACCTCATTAGCGAGATGGTACTGTGGCAATTTTCCGACCTATCAAATGGCAATAATTTGGCAATAAAGCGTTTCCATGAGCAAAATATATTGCACAAAAACATTCGCTCAGTACGTAACTGTGAATGTCAGTTCCAATAAAAACATCCGTCGCATGATGAATGACTGATTGAACAAATATGATGAAGTTGGTTTAAGAAAGGCAATTAATTGGACTCACGTAAAACTACGAAAATTCAATGCGAATGAACTCTCTTCGGATCAGTGATGTTTCTATTCCAGTCAAGCTGTTTCGTTCCTCTTCTATTTTTGCTCTGTTCCCAAGAATATGACAGATCAAAAAAAGAGATGCGCGAACAGAACAGTTTAAAATTTTGGGATGCGGAAACAGAAGAGAACAATCCGAATGACAGAACAGAACATTGTTGAAATTTGTGACGTGGAATAGA